ATCTGAATTCTTCTTTCATACAATTTATCTTAATAGCAAGAAAATGATCCAGCTACCAAGGAAAAGAAACGAAATAGAAGAAATCACTTGACATCTTCATTTTCCTCATGGCTCATGCAAATTAACTATTGGGACATCAAGAACGGGATTTGGACGCTTACAGAGAGGTGTCTAGTGCCACTGTAGATGTCCTCAAGTATCCCAGCTGGCTTCCCTTTGCCATTCCAGATGGTCATGGGACCCCTTCAGGTTTTGCGTGACATCTGTTAGCCCTGTTAGAATGTCTTGGATAGCCTGCAGCATCTAAACTGGCACCAGACTTTTATGATTAGACAGCTGGGTTGCTCCCTGAGAACCTAATCCACGCTCCCTTTTGCTCTACACTATATGAAATAAATCAGAGCATTAGCCTTATGCGCTCACGTTGCATGGCTGTAAAAATAACAAGATAAACAGCATAGTGAAAAAATAGGATCTTTTGCTGATCACTACATTAAAACAATAGCATCGTCAAAGAAATATTAATGCTATATTTACTGGTTTGCACAAACATCCTTATACCATTCTCGCAAAGATGAATTTCTGTCAGCAGTGCTGATTTAACACTTGAATTGGATATCTGAGAATTCTGCTATTGTCTACCTGCATTGGAGGAAGAGGGGAAAGGGACAGCAGATCAGAAGCAAGTAAGTGTAGAAAGATAAAAACAGAATATTGTTCTTTATCTGGTATACAAAGTAAGGATAATCAATGCCAGCAGCATGATGAGGGGAAACGTACCTCATGTAGCATACTTAGAATGTTACATTACAAAATATCTCTAATCACATACTGTAAGACTCTATAGCAGCTAGTAACACTAAGCCAGGGACGATTTTTTTCATGATTCTCTGCCAAGAAACTGGTCTCCTCCTTTCCTAAAGAGCTGACAGTTTACTACCAACAACCGATGGATGCACAGAGATTGGACAGTACAAAGAAGTACAGAGGTATTAGCAGTAAATCATCACAGTGGTAGAAACATACTGATCACCTGAATTCGAAGTTCTGCAGGCATAACAGGGCAGGAGAGGTTTAACAAGGGACTGAAGGACAGTGCTTTCAGCATATTTATGTTGATTGCCTTCTATGTGTGTGCAAGAAATAGGAAACCTCTGGAATCAGTACCTTATTAATGATAAAGCAACTAGACAGGCTGAAAACAAATCACGAAGGAAACTTTCAACTAGTACGTCCTACCGCTTGTAACTGATGCAACTGACAGAGTATACTCTTAAGAGTTGAGGCTCTTGTTTGTCCAAAGTATCTTCCTTTGTAGAATGCTAACCTGAACACACAGACTGGTCCAATTTAGCAGATTTGATCTGTTGCACTTATCAGTTCAAAACCGCAAGTTCCATCTACTGCTGCAGCATTCTCTGATAGCAAATAGAGGCTTTGGTATTAATATTTGCTCTCTGATGTGAATTCATACCAAAAGTTCTGGATAGGCAAGCGACTGAGTGTGCTGAAAAGAAAAGAAATCTAAAGACAAGCACTGGAGAGTGTTGGCAGCTAAGACTCCACCTTGAACAAAAACTCCAGTCCGAGGATCCCTCATATTGCAAACAGCAGAAGGAATTCAAAAAGATCAACAGAACCATGGAAAGTGAAAGCATTTTACATACGCTAGAATAAAACTTTGTTAAATAATGATAGGTGTAGTATGTAATTACCTACAAATATATGCCAAATCTAAGTAAAACAAAAAGGAACTATCAGAACACTAAAAAAACAATAACCAGAAATGTCATTACAGGGAAGGAAAACGTAACACCACCTTTAGGCAGTGAAACCTACTGGAATATTAAACAGCTTCCCAGGGAAAGTCCCATTCCCTGAAAAGGTTTAAAATAGACTGAAAAGTCAATTGGAGACAATATACAAAAATAAGATTGGAGCCATAAAACTGCTGTAACAACGAAAACATTACATGAATTGTGAGATATTTTTGTATAATTTACATAAAAGTTTTCCTGAGATCTGTGAACTGATGTCTCTGTCAGAGACAGAAAGTACACCTGTTTTTAGGCCCAAGTTAAAACATGCTTCTGTCCCATTTTAGCTTGCAACTTTGCTCAGCAACGACTAGCCCACCAGATGTATATGTAGGTGGCAAACTGTGCAGAAGATGATACTGCTTTGGAGAAAAAAAGTAGGTGGTCTGTCATCATAATGCATTTGGCTGACCCATCTCCTCTTGTCGTATAAATGATATTAAAAATAAAAGAAAATACAATTTTAGGTTATTTTGAAGGCTATCATGAAACTCTGTTGGGCAGGATTATTTGAGATAGAAAAGTATATCCAGTTGTTTAATTTCAGCTTTCAGGTCTTTGATCACAGCTTTCTTCTGAAAATTTTACCACAAAAAATATGCTACAGACAGCCTGATGTATACTTTTTACTCCTACATTTTTCATATGAAGTTACTCTTGATGAACTACACAGCAACTTCTGAGACAAAGATAAAGAATGTGAATAATAAGCTCAGATCAATCCTTTATTTTAGTGCAAACTAAATTAAGAAGTGTTTGATCTGACTATGTTTGTTACAAAATTTATAGAGTGCCTTCAGAATTAAGTATCTTCCTGTCAAATACTGTTACCCTATATAAGCTGAAGCAACTCCAAAATATAGCTTCCATTTGACCTACATATCAGCTGCTCTTTTTATGTTCTCACTTACTATACGTTATTCTCCTGAATAAAGCCCCAGCTAAAAGCACCCCTGCATTGCCGTTTCATCATTATCTTCTGATTAACGAACAGCCTAAGCACACAGCCAGCTGTTACTTAGATACTCTACAATAAAAACAGTATTACTATCAATATTCAGTGTTATTCAGGTATCTCCTTCTTAGATGAGGTGCTTAAGAGTGACCTAGTTTATCATTTTTAATCTCTTTATCCTCTAAGGATCTTTAGGTTTCTTCACGTCCACATTACTTCATAACCCTCCTGGAAAGATAGGCAAGGGCCTCCTGGAGCAGATTCTCAAGTGGAGCAATGAGAACTGAGAATCTGCTTCTTACACACACATTGCTGACCAAATGCAGTGTTGGTCCCTATCCAGTGTTACTCTAGTCCCACTTTGGTTCTTTTTGCTCAGAAGCACCGCAACTCTTCCCTCAAAGTAAATCACTAATGCCAAAAGATCCTTAAATCAGATAAATTATATTCATCTACAGAACGCAACAGAATGGAAAACTTGAGTAAGTTTTGATAGCTCATCAGCTCTTCTTGTTTACAGGTATAAGTTTCTGCCGCTCTTTAAACTCAGCAGGAGGTATCAGGCAAGTAGGAGCAAAACGTTCTATTGTTACTGTACAACTATAGCCTAGATTACGTTCGCCCATGCTTTTTATGAGTATCACAGAGATACACGCCTCCAAAAGTGAAGGTCGCTGTCTTGTCCCACCACTGTATTGGCCCAGTTTGGAGCTGGTCTGTATTCATGGACTAATATGCCAGGTTTCCTTTGTAGCCATGACAGTGAGATTTTACAAAAGCTTTGAGCTCTGAACTGTCTCTGTTCCCGCTGAAGTCAATCAGAATTTCTCTTTAAATTGACTTTCAGGACAGTGTGCCTTGGCCAACTGAGTATTTTACAAAGCCTACACTACATCATTCCACGTTTCCAACTCATATAAATAAAACGTCCATTACAATAACTGAATGAGTTAATGACTATATTTTTTTCTTCATAATCCCCTTTAATAGAAAAATATATGGAAGGTTAGTATTTAGCATCTGTCTCCATTCAGCATCCTATTAGTCAAACGACATCTTGAAAAAAAACAGTAGCTGTTTGAGTGAAAAGATAGTATCCAACCAGAAATAGAATATAAAGAGGCCTCACATTGCAGAAAGCATTTGTGAGGTCTGTTTAACCAGATCTAACTCCCTCTTACATATTTCAATCCAGGTACATTTCCTCAACGTTCACTGCTGAATGGAGAGTCATGAAGTAAGTTAACTGTTTCTTGTCTCAGACTTGTAAAGATGAACTGTAATATAGATTACACTGGATAAACTCTGCTGATTTCAGTGGAAGAGAATCTAACCCAAACCCAGCATATTTAAGAACTACTGAGGAAAGTGATGACTTCTTTGGGTTTTCTTTCACTTTATCAGAGTACGCATGTCGCTTTTTCTTGGCTCATGCTTTACAAAAGCTGCTACAAGTCCCACACTGAAATTCTGAAATCAGTATAGAATAAGAAGTCCATGTGTACTATTCTCTTTTTCAGAAGACTTAAATGTCAGTATTAAATCAATAAAAAGGTTTGCCAGTCTCTATCTATAGCACCTTATTTATGAAAAAGCAAAAACATGTTGATCAATCTCTAGGACTTTTCTGTGCTCTAGCCTACAAATTTTGAAAGGAAAGAATGCGATCATGGTAACAGTACCAAAAATAGTAACGTGTAAAATAAAGGTTTCTTCACTCTATACTTGCTTTTATATTATGATAAGCACAGCAAAAATCATGTGTTCTACTTGTCCCTGTAATAAAGCTCATTAAATATTCTGCAGAAATCTTTTAAAGATTTAGATTCCAAATTCATAATCACTTTGCATGTGAACATGTGGATTGAAGTCTTCATATATGTGCATCCTATATATGTGGCACCCCAGTAGTTTTTTTAATCGTACAATCTTTCCAGTATCAATGCATAGCCACCAGCTACAGCTGCACAAATTATAAAATACGTAGCCACCATGTTTAAACTATTGCAATAAATAGTTGCTCCTGCTGCCATCTAGTGAGGCTTCAAATTAAAAAAAAAATCTACTTTTCACTTCCAGTTATATATTTCATAACAGAATCTCAAAATGCCCCACAAATCCTTTTACCTCAAAAAGCATTACACGTAAGATTACCTCAGCATATTAGAAACTTCAGACAAAGATGAGCACGAGAAGGTACTTAGGTGTTGCCACACTGAATGTGATACCTGATCCTAGGTGTTTGCAGCCTACGTAGAATCCTCAGCTGAGAATTAGGCGCGCGTATTCCCTGTTCAATGCATGGGAAGAGTTCAGTCATTCAAAAACGCCCCTCAGGAGCCAGACAAGCTGCCAAAAGTAAAAATGAGAAAATTTTAAATTTCTAGTACGGATTTCTTAAATATCTTTGTTTGAATCCCCAGAACATCTAATATTTGATGTTTGCAGCATTGCTCTTTGATGCATGTTTCAGACGCCACATTACCAATTCCACAGCTATGTGTTGTAGCCGTTAGACTAGATTCCCTCTCCGCATAAAAATGGAAGTGACATATTTTTTCAGACTGACACCTCAGATGCAAGTGCAGACAACACAGCTCAGTAAAATGGCTGACCTGTAGTACTGGATTGTATACACATTAAGTTAAAACACTGTGCTTGCTCACAGCCCAAAGTGAACATGTGGCCAATAATAACGGTTCATTTGATATGCAGTAGTCTGATCACGTGTAGAAATAGCTATCAGCCTACAGGTTTGGCTGCTCCTGCAGAGCATCCTCCCCATGGAGTTTTGAGTCTATGTATCCTGCAAATTGACTCTAAAACCCTTCAATTTTTTTTTTCCCGTTTTGAGCACTGTCTAAATTCAGTATCAGAAGAAAGCAATACGCAATGCACACAGCTCCGCTGAAGCCCTTCACAGGCGTTTAAGTGGCAGCCAAGGCGCAACGCCGTTCCTGGCGGCCCGCGACAAGGGCAAGCGCCAGCTGCGTCACACCACCCCGGCGCAGGCTGCAGCCGCCATTTTGTGAGGGGAAGGTGTGAAGGAGGCTGCCAAAGCAGCGCCACTCCCCGGGGGAGCGAGGGAGGTGCGACGCGAGAAGGAGAGAAGAAAAGCAGTCCCCTATGTGACTCCCAGGACCCCGCTCACCGACAGCGACCCACGCAGCACCCAGGCCCCGCGGGGCCGGGCAGGGCAGCCGAGGCGCCCGCGGCGGGCACCGGGCCCCCCCGC